TGAAAAGTGAATTTACTCTGTAAATCTTCACCCAAATCCTAATAAAAAAAAAAAAAAAAAAAGATCAGAGACAACCAGGCATATATTCAATAGATGTAAAGAGTAGAATATGAGGTTCTAAATTATATCATGTAAGGAATAGTTAACTGAATTGGAATATTTGTCCAAAAGAAGGTAAGTTTCAAATGAATGGGAAAGATTTTTCAAAATCATTTTCTGTATTCCATATAGCATTAAGGGAGCTCTGATGGCATAGTGCATAAGGCATTTGATTACTAACTTGGAAGGAAGACTGGGTAATCTACTTCCATAGAGATACTGTCTTGGAAACCCAAAGAGGGGTCACTATGAGTCGTATTTGACTTGATAACAGTGAATTTGATTTTTGGTTTTATATAGCATTAAAGATAGGAACAGATCCAAAGACATGGGTCATAAGGAGAAAAACTTATGACCCATGTCATAGGAAGAAAAACTTAAGCACATTAGAATCATAGATCTCTAAACATGGAGACATGGAGAGGAGCTCTGGTAGTGTAGTGCCTGAGGCATTTGACTGCTAACCAGGAGGTTGGAGGTTCAAACACACCAGCCACTCCTTGGAAGGAAGGTTGGCCAATCTACTTCCATAGAGATACTACCTTGGAAACCCAAGGAGGGGTCACTATGAGTCAGATCTGATTTGACAGCAGTGAGTTTTTTTTTTTTTGGTTGGAGATAGGGAGATCTTGGTAATTGAAAACATTCAAGCACAAGCTAGTAGGTAAATAATAGCAAACAACTGGTAATAAATCATAGAAGAAAGGCAGGATTGGATGGGAACACTTAGAATAGTTAGACATTAAGTTTTCTTCCAGTTTATAGTATCTGAAATCCGAAACTATTAGTTGATTGATCATGTTAATTTGCTAAGTTTTCAATTATTCATTGTTACCATACCTTTATAACAGAGAGAACGCCTTCATTAGCTTTTCCATCTGTACTGATTTTGAAATGTCCTTTTTCATTGCCCTTTAAAATGGTGAAATTGACTCTCCAATTCTCAGTGTTAATTAAATCTTTATCTTCTACAGGCAATCGTAAGATTTCCACATTGAATACATTTTCCTCTACGGATACCTCATACTGGGACAGAAATAATTCATTAAAATCTTACTTTATAAAAAGTAATTTTACTAAGAAAGTAAATATTTTTTCCAGTCTAAACGTACTTGTTCTTATAGATTTTGCATAAGTTTTCTAAAATTCTGAATCACAATTAGTATTATTTCATAAGAGTTATATTTGAAATGAAAGAACTTCATTATAAATGAAGACTCTAATGTCATTGGCATTTACTGAGAAGGGAAAAAATTCTAATAAAAGAATAAAAGAGATTTATATACCAGGTATTTAAACTTTATTTAATTTTCTTTACAAAATAAACATATATATTTTACAGCATGACAAATTTTTTATTAAATTAGATTAATTAACGAATGACAATAAACAAAGTAGCAATAGATTTTCATAATCTTTACTCACAGCATTTTGTCTGAAAGTAGGTGCATTGTCATTTGAATCTTTTACTGTTATCAGACAAGTTGATGTAGCCATCAATCCAAAAAACTGACCATCCATGTCTTGTACTTTCATTATCAATGTGTACTTGTGTACCGTCTGAAAGCAAAGAAAATATTTAATTAATTCATCAACATTTAGTTTAGGTTTTTGTTTAGATTTATAAAGGAATCTCTGTACACTCTTCTATTCCTGTGTATCCATGCTTTGCTCCAATGTCCACATTTGTATGTACTCTTAAGAAATTGCCATACAGGAATGGACCTGAAAAGATACACAGAGATTAAATTATGAAGCACCATACTAAGAATACAGGTTTAATGCTTTAAGTGACAGGTAATGGTGAAAGGTTTTATGGGAGTCATGGAGGAGCACAAAATAAGAACTCAATGTTTTAGAAAGAATATTAAAGAAAGGTTGAGTATAATCTGTAATGAACTGAGCTGCACTCAAAGGAATCAGTTAAGGGGCTCCTAGATTTAATGGCAACAGGTGAGTTTGTTATTGTTTTGTTTCTCACATAATAGTGTGAGATATGTGGTCTATATCTAAGGCAGTAGCAATAAGGGCAGAGTGAAAGGGAGATAGAGAAGTTACTTGGGATGTAGAATGAAATAGGACTTAATAATTATATACACAAGTTAACAGAGAAAGAGGAAGCTGGAAACGATATTCAGGAGCCCTACTTAGGCAGGCAGGCAGAGGTATCACCAACTTAGGAAATACAAAAGGAGGGACAGGTTCTTGAGGAGGGGTAAAAATAATGAGTTTTTCTTTGCAAATGTTGAATTTTAAGTACCTATGGGAAATCTAAGGAGACAACTACAGAAGGCATCTTTTGTATGACTCCATACATAAGGGAGAGCTCACATTCAGAAATACTGATATGGGAGTCATCAATATGTAGATGGTGATTGACATTATATCAGGAATCACATTACTCAGAAAAGATTGGAGACTGGGAAGAACTGAAGATATAATTCTAGGGAACAATAGCATTGCAGACACTGGGGAAATAATACTAGTCAAAGGACACTGAAAAGGAAAGATCAGAGAAACAGAAATCCAAAGGAAGAAAAGAGTTTTGATCATTGCCAACAACATGCAGGGTCTAAGAGGTAGCTGCTGGATCTGACAATTAGGAAATCACTAATGACTTCTGTAAGGAGAGTTTTCATAGGATAGTGATGATGAAATGAAGTCAGTAGTGTGTGATACAACCATCTTTCTTGCCTTTCTCTTTTACCTTTTTTTTTTTTTTATTAGCTGCCTTTTTCATTCATTTAGTCTTCTTCATTGTATTTCCCTACATCTCATCCCTCAATTTTCATTTTATCTGATCTTTCTTTCACATTAAAAACCAGCAACTTCACCCTGAATTTTACCATAGCTTCCAAAACTCTCTGATACCCTGTTTTTTCTTCCTCTCAATTCTGTTTTCCTCCAACATTCATTTCTTTACTTCATGTATTGTTTCCCACAGTGTACCCCATAACAACTCCTCATAAAATCTCATTTGATTTTTTTTTCTTTTTTCACCTGGCAGATAGACCTTGGTTTGACTGCAAATTTGTATTCTAAAAATTGTTCAACCTACAAAACTCAAAAACATTTGGAAAAAAGAAAGGGGGGAGACCAGGTTTGCTGGTTTGATAGAGCCTGGTGGAAACACCGAGACTATGGCCCCTAGCTGGCCTTCGGGTCTGGAACGGAACCCGTACCTGTGGCTTCCAGCCAAACAAAAGATAGGCATAAGAGTTGAACATGTACCTGAGGTAGATACACTCCTTGGAGAGAACAATCATTGGAGAAAGAAGGACTATTTATGTACAGGGAGACAGTTCAGGCGGCAGGAGTGCATGCAGGGATGGACACAGGGAAGAGGTAACTATGGGGAGGAAGTGGGAGGGGAGTTGTTGCATTGGGATAAATTGTAGTCAATATCATGAGACAACGTGTGTGTAAACTGCTGTATGGAAAGTGAATTTGCTCTGTAAACTCTCACCCAAATCACAATTTAAAAAAAAAAATTGTTCAATCTTAAATTATTTAGGTTTTATAAGTTTCTCTCTCTCTCTTTTTTAAATTAATTTGTAAACAATGAGGGAAAAGCCTTTTTTCACTTGAATGTCATATCATCTTTGCATACTCCACAGATGTAAAAACACATTCATATGGTTCCATTATAACTTAATTATTTTACAATTATGTGCTTTATCACATGGAATACCCTCATCCCCAAAAGTATAAACTTTTATAACTAAAACCTCTGTACTTCTTTTCGATTCATTTTTAATATTCCCACCATCCCTCTCTTCCTCTATAGAATCAATTCTCATTGATTTTTCTTTATAATATCTCCCCTAGATATATCAATACTTCTATTTGTGTTATTCTAGTTGTGGGGGGAACTGATGTGTTAGGAACAAAATTAATCTATTTTAAATACAAGAAATTGATTCATCTACCTCAGTCAATAATGCCTCACTCTGAGTTAAATATAAGCTGACAAAATGCACAAAACAACAGGGGACTCAAAGCAGTGACTTGAGCTTGGACAAGTCAATCAATCTTCCTGATTGTCACATCTCTCCCCTATAGATTGGACATAACACTTACCTAGGCAAACAAGGAAATGGTAAATACCAAATACTAATATACATGAAGGGTTTAAACTTAAAGTATTATATACATGACAATTTAGTGTCAATATCACACAAATGAGAAGCTCTGGTGGTGCAGTGCCTAAGGCATTTGACTGCCAACCAGAAGGTTGGAGGTTCAAACCCACCAGCTACTCCATGGAAGGATGATGGGGCAATCTACTTCCATTAAGATTTACCTCCTTGGAAACCCAACGGGAGTCACTATGAGGCAAAAATGACTCAATGGCAGTGGGTTGGTTTTTTTGGTTTACCAGGCAAATAGTGCTACAAGTTTTTAAAAATTCATAAACTTTATCTTTCCTAATAAAAAATCACATAAAATAACTGGTTAGGCATCAGAGTATGACCCATACTCTCAGACTAAGCTAAACTAATTGTTCCACATGAGAATGGAAGTTGCTAGAGAACTGGAACCAGTAGCTACAGAAAATAAATAAATAATATTGAATAATGATAATTTTCATATGAAAAATATTATTTGCTTTCTCATCCCTTTTAAATCTGTATTTCCATTTATTAAGGGTTTTTTTTAATATAAATTAATAGAGAAATTATATGAAAACAGGTAAAATGCTGGAAACCCTTATTGTCTTTTGCCAAAAATAAAATTAGAAACTCTTAATTTACAAGATAGCAAATTACAGTTAATTGGTAGAGGGATTTTTTTTTTTTTTTTGGCCTTCAGTAAAATGATGTTCTAAAGAGTGTGAAAGCTACCTCTCTGTCCAGATAGTGAGAGGCTAAGGTGATGACACCTTTTCTGGGATGCACAGAAAAGAGTCCAGTTGATCTTGGTGTCTGCTCCAAAATGCTGTACTTCAGAAGCGTGTGCATTGTGTCAGGCTCATCTCTGTCTGTGGCACAAACCACTCCCACTGTCGTTCCTGCATTTTAGGAAAAGAGTCTTCAGTTTCCAGAATTTCAAAATAGGTTTAGAAGTTTTCACTGTACCTATACTTTTCCTTTTTAAGAACAGTAGTGGAAATCTAATTAAAAATGTATTTCCACAGAACAGGAGAAAATATTGGCAATTCATATATCTGATAATGGACTAGAAACCAGACGATATTAAAACAAACAAACAAAACAATCTGTTACAATTCAACAGTAAATAGACAGCTGAACTTATTAATGGGCAAAGGATTTCAGTAGACACTTCTCCAAAGAAGATATACAAATGGCCATTAAGCACATGAAAATATACTCATCATTAGGTATTAGGGAAATGTCAACCAAAATTATAATCAGATATTACTTCACACCAAGTAAGATGACTGTTTGATAAAAAGAATAATAACAACTGTTGATAGGAATGTGGAGAACTTGTAACTCACATGCATTCCTGGTGAGGATCTAAAATGGTGTACGCACACCCATGAGTAATGTACTCCCTTTAACAATCAACTGTATGAGACCAAATGGTCAACATTTACCCAAAAGCAAACATGAGAAGGCAAAGAGGGGCAGGAAGCTAGATCAATGGAAATAGATCAACAGAATGGAAATAACAAGAAGCCTTATACATTGTGAAAATTGTCACCCATGTTATGGAGCAATTTGTATAAAAGTTGTTAAATGGGAAGCTAATTTGCCATGCAAAATTCACCTAAAATAATGAAATATTTAAAAAAAAAAAAGAGTATTTACAGGTGGTATTTTTTATAGTACAAGGACAAAGTCCCAATGCTCATTAGAATTCCATACATAGATCCACTTTGCCTACAGCTCTGTATGTAAGGCTGTCTAAAGGACAATACATACATACACACACATACAAACATACATATTCATTGAAATATCATATTTGAAGGAAATAAGAGTAAAACTTAATGTAAGGAAATACTAGTTTTAAATAATTTTGTCACTATAATACATCCTTAAAGTTAAAAAATTAATACCACTATACATAAGTTCCAATTTCATATTTATAACCAATGACAAACTATCTACAGCAGAGCAACATGAAGTAATATTAATATTATAAGAAAATAAATTATATTCACATATCATTTCATGAACTTTGTAAGGCATACCATTTTCCTTATATAATTTCATTGACAGTCAGGAAGATATTTTAATTCTCTGGATCTAGAACTGTTTTACTTACTACAGCAAACAACTTTCCTAAAATACTGACTTGAAAATTCCTTCTCATGAATACTATACTTATGTTAATGGAAGAGTCTTTGCCCAAAATCTCTGACATGTGTTAAGGAAAATCAAGGTACAAGTAAGTGTTAGTTCAGAGCAGCACAGCCTTCTTGGCCCGTCCTCACTGACAGGATGTGCTTAAAGCATCCTGGGTTAACCTAGACATCAAAATGTTTTGCCCATGTTTCTTCTCTGCTATAACTGAACAGAATGGAATCCTTAACAAACAGTCTGAAACTAATAACTCCTCTTTAAAAAGAGAAAAATATAAGAAGCATAAAATTGTGATGCTGAAAATATTATTAAAAAATCCTCACTACTGTCAAGTTGGTCCACACTCATACCAAACCCTCCTTGGGTTTCCAAGGCAGTATCTCTACAGAAGTTAAGTTGCCCAATCTTCCTTCCATGGAATGGCTGGTGGGTTTGAACCACCAGCCTTCTGGATTGCAGTCAAATGCCTTAGGCACTATCATTGAATGAAATTAACTCATTTTATAGGTAAGGGAACTCAGAGGGATTTGTGTGAGTTCCCATAATGAAATAATAACAAATCAGGATCAAAAACTAGGTTTCTTAAACCCCAAACAAACAGTTTTTATTTGTTGAATTGTATTATGTGCATAATAAAGAAGTTAACACCTATGAAATCAAATTTTTAAAGTAAAATATAAAAGGTGAAGAACAGATATAATAATATAGTAAAGATCTAAGTAAGTTTAATAGTCAAGTTAGCAAAGGTGACGTTTATGACTGAGTCCACAGTTCTTTCAACTTTATTGTGAATGGTTATTCTCCCTATTGCAAGTCTCAGATGACATCATGATAACCACATTTAAAGGCCTACTAAATTTAAACACTTTAGGTTTTTCACATGTGAAAGTAGGGGTTTGAGATGGGAAACATGTAAATTGTTTCTCTAAGGATACTACTACCATTCACACTAAATTATAAGTAGTGAGATGGTAGTTTTAAAAGAGAGGGTATAAATAAAAGCTAAAAAAATTCACAATGGGATACAATGCAACATTAAAGAATAATGAAAATTCCATGAAACATCTCATAACATGGATAAACTTGGAGGATGTTATGCTGAGGGAAATAAGTCAATCACAGGACAAAGACTGTATGAGTCCATGATTATAAAAAGTCAAGGAAAGATTTATACACAGAAGGAAACTTTCTTTGTTGGTTACCACAGAGGAGAGGGGAGGAAAAATTGCTAGCTAGGTAAGAAACACATACTGTTTTCGGTGAAGGGAAAGGCAATATACCAAACGTAGGTGACCAGCACAATAACACTAAGGAAAAAGAAGACATGGAGAGGTGCACAAGACATACAGACAACAAAGGTAAATACTATTGCATACACAGTCCTGCATTATTAGTAATAACAAACATTAATTTACAGGTGGATATATAGGTAGACAGACAAGACAATCAGGTATGGATAAGTGAATGACCATATAGGTTTGGCAGATGATATTTCTACACATGTATTTTATGTGCTATAAAAACGTCCATATATATAACAGAGTGAACGGAGAGGGAAAAAAAGCAAGAAAAAGCTAAAAAATGAAATTATGTATCCTTAATGAATGTCCTTCAAACCTCTCCCAAATAAAACCTAATAAGAATATCTATACCGATTTTAGTTTTATTATTTATTCTACACTGCAGGTCCTCTTTTGGAAGTGAGAAAAAAGATAAACTCAATAATAATAAAATGAAATAAACCAAATATAATACAAGGTTTGAATAACTGTTAACTGCCTTATACTTAATTGACATTATAGAAGCAAACTCAAGTACTCCTGCAATATCTGATAAATTTCATATTGACTAAATTTGATGAGATTAAATGCACCCTTGTTAAAGAGATACTCATCTGATATGGCCATGACAGTAAAAAACTGAATGTCTCCAAAAACAGACACAAATATGTAACATAATACATTTTATTCTTAAAAGGAGTCTTACCAACTTTACTACTTTCTGGAATTTCAAAATTATAAGTGCTTTCTGTGAACACTGGGTGGTTGTCATTTTCATCCTCCACTCGGATGGGCAGTGGCAGAGGCAAATCCGCTGAATACCCATCTGCAGTTGACGCGTAGGCGATCAGCTACAACAAAGGAGAGTATGAGTTAACTAGATCATTATTGTAAGATTCTAGTAAGAGAGAGTAAGATGATTTACCTACTACCTATTTTGTAGATCTTTTCAATGATAGACTATTTCAAAGATGTTTATTCAATTTTTAAAAAATTATCATAGTATCAAATGGAGAAATGCTAGGAATTCAGAATTTTGTGGAGAGAGCTACACTGCAAGTAAAATCTACATCAGAGTACAATGAAGTCAGGTGTGCCTCTGCCCACTAGACTGACCAATTGAATGTGAATATAGAGACTTGAGACTTGAGCTCTGGTAGCATAGTGGCTAAGACACTTGCCTGCTAACCAGACGGCTGGCGGTTCAAACCCACCAGCCACTCCTCGGAAGGAAGGTTGGGCAATCCTACTTCCGTAGTGATACTGCCTCGGAAACCCAAGGAGGGGTTGCTATGAGTCGGGTTTGACTCGACTGCACATAACAACAACAACAACATAGAGACTTGCATTATAGTCCTTATTCTGCCAATAATCAGAGAGTTATATTAGGAAAAACAATTAAATTCACTGCAATGTGCAAAGTCCCTAGTAAATTATCTAAATAAAGCACTGATTCCTAATCTCATCACTATTGAGCCTTTTATTGTTTTACCTCATAGACCATATTTATTTAAGAGGTTTTCTAGCAAAATACCTTAAATAATTTTCCCATTTTTAATTAACAAAAATCATGTAATGTTAGACAGAATATATTTCTATTCAGCATGTGATCACCAAATTTTCTATTTGAAAGCAAAGAAATGCCATGTGGGAATGTCCTATTTGCTGACCTAGCAACTCTTCCTTCTCATTCTAGGAACAGAATCTTTTTCCTAAGAGAAATTACTTTCCTTATAACATGGGAATGTCCACATGACCCCATGTTAGGTGCCATCAAGTCAGCCACCCAGTCGACTCTTGACTCAGTAACTCCATGTAACAGAATAGAAAAGCCTCGTATTATTTTCTAGGCTGTAATGTTTACAGGAGCAGATGATCAGGTTTTCCACACATGGAGCCACTGAGTAGGCTCCAACCACCAACCTTGTTGTTAGCAGTTGGGAGCTTAAAGATTAGGTCACCAGGGCTCTTCATGACCCAATAGCATTTCCATATTAAATTAAATTATTCCCCATTGACTGCAAGCTCATCCATATCAAGAATTAACAATTGTTCAGATCTTTTCTTCCAATTTTGCTTCCCAATCTAGTTCTCAGGATCCCTAGTTGAACAGTGAAGAAGCACTCAGTTGCTAATCAAAAGGCAATTAGAACTCACCAAACGCTTCTCAGAAGAAAGATAGTCTGCTCCCATAAAGACTGCCATCTTGGAAACCCTATAGGGCAATTCTGCACTGTCCTTTAGGATGGCTATGAGTAGGAATCAACTCAGTGGCAATGGGTTTGGTTTGGTTTTATCTAGTTCTTAGACATTGTCAGAGGATCACACAACCAGAGGGAAAAAGAAAGAAATGCAATTAGCACAGAAGAAGAAAGCTGGGGTGGACATGGTCTGGAGAGAGGAAAAAGTACCAGTTATCAGAAAGAATATCTCATACGCAGAGCGATCTTCCTGGAAATTTACTGTAATTTACATTCTCACTGATGTTGAGTATGATCCAACTCACAGAGACCTCTCCTTGGGTTTCCGAGGCAGTATCACTACAGAAGTAGATTGCCCAATCTTCCTTCTGAGGAGAGGCTGGTGTGTTTGAACCACCAGCCTTCCGGTTAGCAATCAAGTGCCTTACTAATTCTGGCTCATGTAGAGGAAGTTGGAAAAAAAAGAGCAGCTCAAGAGCTCCAACTGTGGTATTTCTACTTTCTTTTCATGCTAAGATGCACTGCGCTCTAACAGAGTGTCAGGAGATAGGGATGCAAAGCAGAGTGAGTATCAGGAGAAACATAGCTTAATCAGTTAAAGGCATTTAAGATAAGAGTCCTACATCAAAAACATCATATTCCTCACGATCCACAGACCGGGTACAATACAGATTTCCAGTGTCTCTCTCTATGTAAAACAAATTTAAAGGTTCTTGGTCGACTCCACGTCCACTTATCGAATAGAAGATGGTATAGTTCTGTGCTGCATCAGATTGAACCTAAAAGGGGGGGGGGATATGCCATAAAATTAAATTCAGTGAAAAATTGCTATTTTTTTTCAATGTATATGACATGTTTACATTATTTTTTTATTTTAAAGACATAATTTCAATAAACTATCTCATTTGTCACATAACCAACACACGAATGGAAAATGAGTAAAGACCAGTAATAAGCATTTGGAAAAAAGATATTTTAAAACTTGTCAAGTGTAAAGAAAACAATGCTCACCATAAATGGTAATCAAAAAAAAAATGTCCAATTTAAAACAATAAGACATAATTTCCCATCTGTTGATTTGACAAGGATTAAAAAAAAAAAAAAAACAGTAAAGCCCATGGTTGGCATGGGCAAGGCAAATAGTAAGTCTCATATACAAGTGAGTGGAATGCCAATGAGAATGTATCTTACAGAGAGGAACTAACAAAAAATAAAAAGAATGAGCTACAAGAGTAAAGAAGGGAAGACTCTTCTTCGCAGAGGAGTCAGGAGATACAAAGGAAGTAAGTTAAAGGTGTACATGGAGTGTTCAACAGCAGCCTGGAGGCCACAGTGGTTGGAGCAGAATGAACAGGGGGCAAAGAAAAAGTAGAGATGAAGAGGCACTGAAGTATAGGGGCCACATCTTTGATATGATTGCAAGATGTTGGCTTTTCCTTGGAATCAGGTGGGAAGCAATAGGAGAGTTTAGCCAACAGTAACAAGATCTGATTTATATTTTGATCAGATCTTCATTGCTAGGACTAGATGGGTAGATCAGCAAGGGAAGAAGGAAGGAGACCATTTAAGTTCCTGCCATAATCCAAAGGGAAAGTGGTGATTTGTTAGACTAGTATGGTAGCAGTATAGGTAGAGAGAAGTGGTTAGCTTCTGAATATAATTTGAAGGTACAGCCAAGAGGGTTGGCAATGGGTTCTATGTGGTGTAAAGAGGTAAGTCAATATTTACTATATCAGAAAGTGCTAGTATCCCCTAATATCTATTCTCCCCATCTTCATTAGAACTAGAATTCATATCTGACACCAGCTTACTCAAAGAAAGCTATTCCTCAGTCTCCCTTCCAATTAGGTATGGCTACATGAAAAGCTTAGGTCAATGTGATATGAACCAAAATAATATGTGCAAGATCCAGACTATGCTCTCTAAAGGAGAAAGAGTGTGTTCCTCTTTGGAACACAGTAATGGGTCATTTTGAAGCAGCTTCAGAGATGGCTGATCTAATAAATAGATGTCTGGGCTTCTGGTGTTTTCTTAAATTCTTTTTGCATATTTCCCTTTACCACATAAGACTTTTACATGATAGTGATAAGCTTTTACCTTGCTTAAGCTACTATTATTTGGGATCACAAAAAATGCAGCTATACAAAAATATCCTATAAAAATACAGAAATTAAAAGTTTAACTGTGGGAGAAATGGAAGGATATGGCAGATTCAGGCTCCACATCCATTTCATTGTCCTTCTACTCTGTCTTCTCATAGTATGAATGTATGAAGGATTTAAAGATTTTCTTTTAAATCTTTATTTTCCAGAATCTCTTGAATCTAGCCTTCTGGTTCCAGATATGGTCAATCAGATACACTTGCATGAGATTTGGAGATATAAATGAGGTAGATTTCTCATTTCAGCTGTCTCTGCAGTTTTCTTTTACTGACATCACATTTAGATGTATTCGTTTTCTTTCATTGTCTTTCTCTGCAACTCAGTTTCTCAATACCCACCAAGTTAGTGACAGTTCTTTGCAAATCTTTTGCAGACACCGATTACAGCATTTATAATCTTGTTCTGGAGCTGCATTTGTAGAAGCAGCTTCCTGACTGTGGTGGTTTCGTGACCACAGCTGTTGCACTGTGATTCTACAATTAGTGGCTTTCTCACCACAAAGTAAGCAGCATGCCCTTGGTGCTGGTTCTATGGTGAAGCTTGGTGATTTATTCCTGAAAATTTAACCTGAAGTGTGTTTCTTCAACTCTCTTAAAAATTTTATACACTATTTAATACACTGTAATAAATCTCTACCAGTTTAAACTACAGGGAGCTCTGGTAGCATAGTGGCTAAGGCACTTGACTGCTAACCAGAAGGCTGGCGGTTCAAACCCACCAGCCACTCCTCAGAAGGAAGATAGGCAATCTACTTCCATAGTGATACTGCCTCGGAAACCCAAGGAGGGGTAGCTATGAGTCAGGGCCAACTCCACGGCACATAACAACAACAACAACAACAGTTTAAACTACAGTGAAACCTGGGAAAGCAGGAATGCAATGGGACTGACTTGTTTACTGAGTCACTCTTTTTCTGCTTTTGACAGGATGCAGTCTGACCACTTTTCTGGTGCTCATTCTAGTAGAAAATATTTGAGTTTCTCTTCTCTGAGGATTCTGCCTTATACAGATTCTGGCTTCTACCAGTTTCACTGTACTTAGAATTATACTCTGTATAACCTAACCAAACAGATTCCAAGGCCCAAATAATGTGATAGATGGAACTGCCATTAACTGGGATGGGAAAGATGATTTTAGGGAAAAGAATCAAGAGTTCAATTCTTTCATAGAAAGTATGGCCAGTGGGTTAAGAGGGAAAGTAGGTGAGCAGTGTCCTAGAAGTCAAGTGAAAAAGTACTCAAGGAGATGAAGAGATCAGCTCATATCTCAAATGTACACATGTCAAGGAGATGAGAACTGCAAAATGGAGAGCGGTTTAGCAAGACAAAGGTTAGAATTGGCTATAATGAGTATAACTTAGGGAATCAGAAATCCTTTTTAATATGTCTCATCAGAGTTTAAAGTACAATATTCATAAAGAAGTTAGAAACAAATGTCTATCATTGGATAGAACAAAAAATACTTGCAAAAGACACTGAATAGATGGTTAAAAACTTAAACAAGCAGGACACTAGTCATACCATCAGTATTAAACACCAACCACTTACTCAATTCACTACCGTCGATTTGGTTCTAACTCATAGCAACCCCTCCTTGGGTTTCTGAGGTGGTGTCACTATGGAAGTAGATTGCCCAGTCTTCCTTCCAAGGAGTGGCTGGTGGGTTTGAACTACCAGCCTTCTGGTTAGCAGTCAAATGCCTTAGGCAATGCTACAGCCCTACTGCAGTAATTGTTTTTGTTGCATATGGTTAATTTTGATGTTTGTTGTTAGCCTCATTGAATTGGCCTCTGACTCAGGGTGACTCCACTAAAAGTGACCCCTCCTTGGGTTTCCAAGGTAGTATCTCTAAGGAAGTAAATTGCCCAGTTTTCCTTCCAAGAGGTGGCTGGTGAGTTTGAAACATCAGTCTTCTCGTTAGCAGTCACGTGCCTTAGGCACTACACCACCAGAGTTCCAGGATATAGTGGGTGATCAATTACTGTTAAGTGAGTGAATGAATGAATACCTGTTGCCATTGAATCAATTCTGATTTAATGGCAACTCCATGTGTTGCCGTAGTGCCTAAGGCATTTGACTGCTAATCACAAGGCTGGTGGTTCAAACTTACCTGCCATTCCTTGCAAGGAAGGTTGGGCAATCTATTTCTATAGCTACTACCTTGGAAACTCCAGGAGGGATCGCTATGAGTTGAACCAACTCTATGGTGGTGAGTTTGGTTTTGGGGGTTCATGAGTTTTAGAGCAGAACTGTGTCCCATAGCGTTTTCAGTGGTTGTGACTTTTCAGAAGTAGATCACCAGGCCTTTCTTGGGAGGCAACTCTTTGGATTAGTAGCACCAACCTCTTGATTAGTAGCTAAGTTCTTAACCATTTTTGCCACCCAGGATCCCAGAATGAATAAATAAAGATCTTTTAATGGCTTCAAAACCATTCACATATCATTATATTTTTAGTTATTTTTTTTTTCAGATTTCATAATCATTCTAATCCAATCTATTTATTTTCAAATGTTTAAAACCTGAGCAAAACAGACTCTTGAATGTAGAGCATTCCCAATCAGAGGAAATGTAAAACTTACCTGTTGAAGAAACAATGGGAAAGGGCCCAAAGAATTCTCCTGCATTGAACAAGGAATAGGTGCCCATCTCCTTTTGGCACGCCTGAGGACAGTCTCTTTAGTATGCCTTTTCCTCAGTACCTGAATTTAGAGAAGTTAAAAAATAAACAAAATTACCACTGTCTACTTTGTTGTATAACAATGGAAAGCTCATAATGCTAAGACTTCTAAGACGCTCCAGCCTTAGCAATCACCTTGCAGAAGCTTAAGATCGGCTATGAAGGTCATTTTGCATTAGAAGAGGGATGAGGAATGCATTAGAATTTTCAGAAGGTAGAGCAAGGTTTCAGAAAGTAGAGCATTTCCCTTTTTACACCTTCCTAACACTAACCATATTTTCAGATTAGAAAAACCATCAATTATACTCTTAGTTTTTCTTCCACGGCCCAAACAGAGATAAAAAATATATTCTCTCTATATTGATTTATAGACACCACTTACCAGTCATTTCTGCAAAAGCCTCATAATTTCAGGAACCCAAGGAAAAAAAATACATGTTCTTCATTTCTCAATGCTCTATCTGCTTCATCACGTATGGTAGCCACTAGCAATGTGTGGCTATTTAAATTATGTTATAAGTTAATTTTATAAATAAAATTTTAAATATTAAGTTTTTCAATTGTACTAGGCACTTGCCATGTACATTATAGAACAATTCATCATTCCAGAAAGTTATACTGGACTTTCTTCTAAGTTCAAACCTTTTCTCATTTTTGTGACTTTAAATTGGCATTCTTCACAATGTGGAATCTAGAACAGCAATCAATAATCCTCTGACTGATAGTAAGTCTAATACCACATATACTCTTATTTATATATTTTCCAGTATTTGCATCCTATTTTAACATCAGAACCACTAGCACTTGAAATCAACTTCCTTATTCACTGGGGACCACTTCTCTTATCATTAATTCAACACACAGCTACTGACTGAGTCAGGTATCAGGCCGTATTCCTGAGGCTGTAAACACAAATGAGATCAATGATGCCTATAGTTAAATTATTTGCACTAATTAAAAAAAAATTGATACAGGTGAAGGGATTTATGTAAAAAATAATAATGTTGTTGTTGTTGTTTGCCGTCGAGTCAAACCCGACTCATAGCGACCCCTCCTTGGGTTTCCGAGGCAGTATCACTACGGAAGTAGGATTGCCCAACCTTCCTTCCGAGGAGTGGCTGGTGGGTTTGAACCGCCAGCCGTCTGGTTAGCAGGCGAGTGTCTTAGCCATTATGCTACCAGAGCTCCCAAAAATAATAATAATAAATAAAAATTCCAAATGCTCTAGTAGAGGAGTAGATAAGCTGTCAGTGGCTCACAAAGTCATTAGTGTGGAGAGGTAGAAGAAATCTTCACAGAGGAAGGATCATTTGGATTTAACAAAGTCAAGTTCAAAGCCGGTGTCTCACAAGTGTTTTGGGGAAAAAAAGGCAGGAAAGAAGGAAGGGAGTAAAGAGGAGAGAAAAACAGAAGGAAAAAAAAAAAAAGATTCTCTTAATGCTTTGTTCCTCCTGGCAATTTTTACTAAAAGAGTATTAAAAAGAAACCACACGTCAGAACCTTAAAATACCAATATACTTAGAATACCTTCGTCTGATGTTTCAGAAGCACGGTAATATCCTTCTGTATCTGTTTCTTTGTGTCCGAAAGCCATAGGGTGAATGATCTCTTTTCATCAGACAACACAACAGCTCTGGCTGTGAATACGGACCCGTCATACAGAACTCTGAAATCAGGGTCACTCCACCGGATGGTGTCTGCAGACTTGAGACACTCTTTCAAATTAACTGCAAGTAAAAATCTCAAAGTTGTAAAGTAGAAACACACACATACACACACAAAATGTATTAAAATAATTTACATAATCTTCTTCAAGCCAGGAGGTGCAATGCATCTGTAGCAGTGCGGGGAGCCAGAACAGGTGAATTTGGGAGAAATTAGGAGATTTAGCAGAATAGCTATTTTGAGGAGAACAAACATTTTCTTTTCATTTTTGTATATAACCTCTTTATAATATAACATACCTAACCATTTTTAATATTAACTTTGGTTTATTGGTTAAGTAGTAATATTAACAACACTGGCTACATAGAAGCTTGCTTTTGACTACATTTTTAGGATCATAAAACCAGGGTAGAAATAACTCACAGACAGATTGACCACATTTTGAAAATCATGAAATCAGAAAGGGACATAACCTCGATGGCACTTCCTGATAAAGTTATTTCTAAGATTGTTGTGCAGCCCACTGCTTGCAGTCAGCAGTAACCAGCTTTGGCGCTTGCATGGACCACCTAAAACAACAGATCTAAAGTGGGAACTAAAGATTCAACCCAGCGTCCATCTGGAAGAACACAGCTTCCATTCACATACCTACCCTGAAGGAAACAGAGGTTTACTGCAAGAGGAATATCGTTGTCCCCACAGCTTTGTTTCACTTCCCTGACTTGCAAAAAGGTCAGAGATTTATGAGTAACCTGCTTGTGTAAGACTTTCCAAATCACATATTCCACAGCTCCAAAATCATTATAAAAACCCTTAGCCTGCAAGGTTCCAGGAGCAAGACTTTGTGTTGCCTCTGGCCCC